CTCAAGTTTCGTCCCTGTGTACATCTAACTTTTGTATGCCTTGATTAAGCCGTCCCTCCCCCTGGGTCCACATAGTCTGAGTGCATATTTTTGGAAATACAACATTTGAATTTTTCTTATATTTTACTAGAAATTATGCACAATAACACAGTAAATTTTTAGTAAAATGTTCAAGGAAAAGAATCTTCCAACAGCAGCAGATGACACAGCAAATCTTTAGTAAAATGTTCAAGGAAAGGATCTTCCAACAGCGGCAGATAACACAATAAATCTTTACTCTGTCTAACGCTACAATCCTGGACAAAAAGTGGCAAAAACTAGTTTATTACTTCAAAATATAATTTTAAGACATGTTTGTCCCAATGATGTCCCCTTCCCCCAATATCAATGTTTGGCCAAGTTATCTGGCCTTGAATACACCCATCAACATTGATATTAGGGGAAGGGGGGTGAAATTCGATGAATTTTCTTATTTTTTACCCTTTTGCCAATAATTTATGTCCAAGATTGTAGATGATTTTACTCATCAAGTGGAGTCTTGCAACTTAATGGGTTAATGAATCAGTTGGTTATTACAACCGATTTCAACTTGATTCATATTTAACATTCACTTTAACCCATTTATTGACAGCACTCTACCACTGACGAGTAATTAATCGTCTGGCATCAGACAGAGTAAATACTATAAGTAGGTACATTTGGGCACATTCACATTGCCAGTTAATGAGTTAATATTGACAACATTAAAAACAGACTAGGGTGTCAAAGGCTACGTGGATGCTTCTTTGCCTGCAACAAAGCATAAAGTGGGACTGCCACATGATCAATGTTAGATTTCAGCAATGAAGGGAATCAATATTTTAATAAAATAATTGTTATTAATAAAATAATTGTTAAAATAATCAATATTTTAAAATTAATAAAATAATTGTTGTCAATTAATAAAATAATTGTTAGAAATTGTTGGGTTAATAATTATTGGGTTAATAATTATTGAAATATGTTGTGCTATAGCAGACTATGAAGTGATTATGCATATATAGTATATAAAATGGACATTAGATGACTCAACCTGGCCTAGTTAGCCAGGCTTGTCTTCAGTGTCTTGCTTAGCCAAGATCCTGACTCATATGATAACCATTTTCTATTCTGGCAAGGCAGGCTAGCCTGCATGGCTCATGTAAACAGGGCCTAAGATGATACATTTTAACATCATATAGTAGGCATGTGAATATCATACCGGCAGATAATTGAATGAAAGCCTTTTTCCATTGTTTTGTATTTCTACCATTTATTTGTAGTCCCCGAGCCGGCGGCGCGAAGCGCCGTGCGAGGGTACTAATTCCCCCCGGCTATTTACACCCGGGGAAACGAAAGCATTAGCGGAGTCTAAAGTTCATCAAATATCGCGGGCGTGGGTCACCAACGATGGGTGGTCATCCTCACTGACCTCAAAAATATGGCGGACTGTCATGAATAGCGGACACTGATTGGTCCAATTTAAAGTTTGCATAAATGACTGCATCACGTCAGCGAAATAGCAAATATTTCTTGATTTGATGATTCATGATTGATAAATTTCTTGCGAATATATTTCATTTTTACTCGCATTTTTGCAATATTTTGTAAATTTCAAAAGCTCTCGGAGAAAGAAACTGCGAAAGAATCGGCTAAAAGAAGGGAGCCGACGTTAACGAAGGTAAGTTTGTTTTAAATATTGATTTTATAATGGCTTTAAAACCCGACGGCCTTTGCGTATATGAAACAACTAAACAAGACAGAATATAATTTCAGTGTATCTTTAATATTGATTCCCTTTTTTATTATATTGAATTTTTTAAATAAAAAAGAAAGCAAAGTTATTTGCAAGCGAGAATTTGAAATCATTTTATTGCAACTCAAAGTTTATCGATAAAGCCATTTAATTAAAGGCAGTTTAGTTAAACAGCACTTTAAAACGTTTTGCGAAGCGTTTGTGGTTGAATTTTACCTTAAATTGAGGCTTATATTACGTATAATAACATACCTAAGATATATATGTTGGGAAATTAATGATTTTGTAATTAAAAGTGATATTTTTAGGCGATTTTTCATTTGTAAGAATATTCTTAAAAAATTATCGTGTTACCATGACAACTATTTTAGAACTTCATGTTCGGAACATACAATGGTTTTGTCAGCAAGGCGAGGGTTTCTGCATGCATGTATTTTCTAGTATTAGCACTTGTTTCTGACTTTCTGTTTATCGGGTTTTATTGATGTATCTTGAAAAGCCAGTCATGTATATACTAATATGAAATTGTATGAAATGTATATAATGAATGATTAGGGACCACCGGTCATTAATAATGGCAGGGGGGGGGCAGTGGCGTAACGGAGGAAGAAGGGCCCTTAGGCATATTTGGTGTGGGGGCCCTGTTGACTGTTGTTTGACTGAGATCTTATATTTAAATTGAATATTTATCAGTAGAATATGGAAAACTCTGTGTCTATAACAATGACAGTAACAGTCTCCAACACATGTAACGACTTTTAAGAATAACTTTTGTTCCATTTGAGATGGAGGGTTTATTATTTAGCCATCATCGATGGAGGGTTTATTATTTAGCATTATTAATTTTCTATTTTTCCATCGATTCGTAATTACCTGCATTTTTTACGTTTTCAGTCTAATTTTCTGGGTGATAGGCCGTGGCTGATGGGTGCCCCTAACTGTCGGGGGCCCTTAGTTTTTTAACTAACCCTACCTAGTGAGCATTACGCCACTGAGGGGGGCGGTGGGTGAGAAAAGGGGGGGGGGACAGCTTCAACTATTTTTGCCTGAATTTGGGGTGTCCTGAAAATATATGACAAGGGGCGACCCCAAATTTTTAATACTTTCCTACTCATTTTCAATCTCTTGCCTTTATCGTATCCCACAAAATATCCCACCTTTTTTAGTTCCTATAATCGTAGTTTCCATAGTTTATTACGTATATACAGTTCACGATAGGAGTCAGAGTAAATAACAACCATTTTGAATACTGGTCCTCTTATTATTTAGGCTACACAATATCTTACACCATGCAGTACTTGTCCCATTACCTATTTTACACCAACTAAGTAACAATTAAATGTTGTTACTGGAGGGGGGTCCTAAATTTTCTAAATGAAGGTGGGGGCATCTTGAAAATAAAGGTCTTGCGATTGGGGCAGCTCTAAAAAATGTTCAGTATTTGGTATCTATCACCCACCATCCCCCCCCTCCCTCCCTCCCTCCCTCCTCCCATTAATGAATGGTCCCTTATGAAAGGTTTTTATCCAGTGAGTTTTACTATATAATTCTAAAGCACATGCATCTTTCGACCTTTATAAAGACATACTATATTATTATATGAGTGTAGTACTGCAGTAAATCGATAAAGGTTTTATGTATGCATAATTTGGATCTTTCATAAATATTGCACACACGGTATTCGTATGAATATTTATAAGACAAATTTACATATTGAAATTAGTTCACGTACCAAAAAGTGCGTTTAATTTGATACATCTCCAACCACTACTTGTTTTTATTTTGAACTCTTCAAATTTCTCAAGCATTTCTGCTTGTGAAGCGCAAACAAGCACCCGGTCACTATCGCTATACTCTTCGATGGAAGCCATATTGCTTTCGTTTCGCGCGTTTTTTCCAATTTCGCGCACTAATTTATTTAAATTTTAAATATGGAATACCGCTGACTCGTATGTATTGCAGTTTCAGATATGTGCGTATCTTGTCTATGATCTAGTGCCGACCTACATTTTTGGTCTCTTTGCGGGGTATGGAGTATTTCTACCGGATTGCTTTACGCAGGCACTTTATTTGAAACTTACTAACGTATACACAATAGTAGTCTGCTATTTTGCTCCGACAACATTTATGGCTGTAGTTTATTATAAAATAAATCGAGCACTCGTCAAACAAAATAAACACATGAAAAGCGTGCGTTCATATCCGGTGAGTCGAAATGTTCCTGCTTCTTCCTCCAGTGTCCTGAGATATATCAGAAATCGACGAACATTTCTTGTTTGTCTTGTTACCGTTATATGTTATGGAATTGCAAATATTCCTATGTCTGTTGCCCTTATGTTGGAAGTCGCTGAAGAACGTCATTTAATAATGGAATATGTTGCTAATGTTCTGAGAGTTGCTGGTTCGCATTCAGTAAATCCAGTAATATATGGAATATTGGACAAAAAGTTGCTCACATTTTGGAAACTTTGTCCTAGGAAGAAACGTACGTATTTGTATAAACCACAGGAAAATCAGGCATTTGTTGTAGACAATCGGACAATCGAGACAACGTTCATCGATTGTTAGCCTCACAGATGAACGACTGTCCTTCCTGGGTGAGACTACCGACACATATCCCCCATGCAAAGCCTATTATTTGAACAACGTTTGATTCCCCGCCCTTTCTATTCAATGTTGCACCCCAGTTACCTTATTTGGTTGTGCTATCATTGAAAAAAAACGCATTGATTGGGGGTGGGGTAAGAGATAAACGTGTCTAATCAGTTGCATTGATTGAATAATGATTTATATAGAACGGCACATAGGTGAACCAACAACTTTTAAAAGGGATTATACCAATTCTGTCGTGTATTTAACAAATATAAAACATTTTCCATGTTGATATACTGTACAGTTACATCAACACGTGTGTGGGAAGACGAGAAATTGTATGGAAACACGCCACCGTGTTTTCACACAATTTCAAGTTTTCCCGAATTTCCACGAGTGTTGATATAACTATATGTACTATTTAAAGCACGCGTAGGAGTGTTTTATCACATATAAAACACGACGCGTAGCGGAGTGTTTTATATGTGATAAAACACGACTACCAGCCCAAAGAGCCCTAACCCAAAGCTTCAAAAACGACTCATCTTATACGAGTTCATTGGCGAAATAATTTTTAAAATAAACTTTGTCTAAACCGAGAAAATCAAAGCTAAAGTTTATGTAAATTAACGTGATTTTTTATCACATATAAAACCACGACACGCTTATGATTTTTCTTTTTGTTTTATAATATAGCACAGAGAAATATAAAGAAAGAAATTTTCCGACGTTTCCGTGTTGACATTAGAGAGGTTAAGATACCCCGATTCCGGTTTACGGGTACGGGTGATATACACGTACCCGTACCCGTAAATCGGGGAATAACTTGTAACTTAAGAAATCCAGGATACTCCGGCGTGAGAAAACCGATCAAAGAATGGCAACTTTCGCTGTTGTGGTTCGTCGTAAATTGTTGAAAACTTTGACCAGCATATGTGCATTATTTATTGGGGTAAGATGCTGAAAATTTGTACTATTTAAACGGCCCAAAAATAGTAAACAGAAACCACCCGTACCCGTTTGTCGTTTACGTGTAGACCCCGGTTTACCGCGGGGGAACGGGTAGAAATTACGGGTAAAATTGCTGACATCAGCAAAAATTGGTAAACAAAATGGCGATACTCGTACCCGTAAACCGGAACCGGGGTATCTTAACCTCTCTATTGAGTTATATCAACACGGCTCTTAAGCCCCGTTTACACTACGCTCAATTTTTGGTACGGCACGGATAAAATTGTCACCCGTACCACTTTTTTGGTTCTTGGACTACCTATTTAGCTAAGCCCCGTTTACACTACGCTCAATTTTTGGTACCGTACCACTTTTTGGTTCTTGGACTACCTATTTAGGTACCAATTTTATCCGTGCCGTACCAAAAATTGAGCGTAGTGTAAACGGGGCTTTAGTCAATCAGCGTTCAGAATTTACAAATGCTATATTATAATATTTTATAGTTTATGTATTATTTAAAAAACGACTTAATATATATAATATATAAAGCGACATAATAAGTCAAATCTTTATATAAAAATGTATATATAAAAATCTTTATATAAAAATCTTTATATAGTTTGCATAACAATGGTCTTTTGTTAAAGTGTTCTTTAGCTGGTATAAAGACGTATGCACGTGACTAATTTCTTACTCAAGATTGGATAATTGCTTCATGAATTATTAATGAGTTTTTGAAAGTTATATACTAAAATGCATAGAAGTACTTATGTATATAGAACTATAGATATAGTATAGATGTATACAAGTGTCTAGAGAGAATTATTCGGTTTTTTTGCAATAGCTATATGGCGCGATTTTTTGTTTTGAAAATGGCTTCGACAGAGAGTGAGCCAATTCGCGTGTTTTAAGTAATATTTCAAATCCGACTATGAGTACTGGACTAGATTTCAAGTTCGCGCAATTTGATCAAGTCCAAGGCGAAGCCGAGGACTGGATCAAAATTCAAGGACTTGAAATCTAGTCCAGTCCGAATCGGACGATTTGAAATGACGTCTCATACGAATAAATCACTATCCAAATTTGGTAGTTCAAAGTGTTACTCAATGCAGCCATCGCAAAACAGAGCTACCGGCTGCTACAAAGTCTCGACCTGAACTAAAACATTTACCTCGGACCACGTATTCAAATATTAAACAAAGTTTGAGGGAGCTTCCCTTCCGATTTTGATTGGCACCATACGATTTACATGACATGGCAAAAAAGTCTTTATTGAAATTGGCTGAATATATAATACATGGGGCATAAAGTATGAAAATAGATAATGTTCGCGAGATAATGTATGAAAATAAGGGAAGATAAATACGCGTTAGATAGCAGATATATACCACGTTGGTCAAATTTAGGAAAATTTCTCCCACTCGTGCGGGCTCGTATTGTCAGCGGACATCTTACAGAAAATGGACAGTTCTGTGCAAAATGCAAAAGTTTCAATTTTTCACAACAAGTCCTCTGAAAATACGAGCCTGCGGTACTGAGAGAAAATTTGCGTATTCACGGAACAAAACTCAAAGAAATAAAAATTAGAAAATTTAAAAGAAATACTGTACTTCTTTTAAATTTTCTAATTTTTATTTCTTTGAGTTTTGTCCATGTCATGCCGAGTACAACTGACCTTGTGTTCTTACCCAACCAATTAATTCAAAGCAATTAGAACTGTCAACTGATTACTACAATACGTTATAGCTAATTTGAATTTGAAAGGGTGCAGGTTAATTTGGAAATTGAAAGGGTGCAGGTCTGTACAGGGTGTCCAAAAACCCCGAAAACTATTGAAATAAATGTATTGTTAGAATTTGAATGCCTCAGCACTCTGCTGAATCCACACCGGCCACACCTGCATCAAAGCTTGACATAAGTAAATTGCATGCATAAAGAAACCGTTTAGGAAGCTGCTTTAAATTCCCAAGAGCAGAGAAACGTGCGCTTTAAGGCCTGATTCCACGGGTGCTTTTTCTCGGCGAAATGCGAAATATTTCGCCTGTTTCTTTTGAATTGCGACCACTCGAATACATTATTTCTACTTGATTGCCCACAATTCAAAGGAAACAGGCGAAATATTTCGCATTTCGCCGAAAAAAAGCGCCCGTGGAATGATCAGGCCTTTACAAAGATATTTCAATTTCTTAATAAGTCAATATTTAATATATGCACCCTTGTCAATATTTCACGCATCTTTGCGTTCAGCTTAGTGCCAGGTCATTCAAATTTTAACAATACGTTATTTCAGTGGTTTTGCGGGGGGGAGGGGGGGGGGGGGTTTGGACACCCTGTAGAGCGTACTAAATGCATGAATAGTAATCCCTAAACATCCCACGGGGGTGTTTTAAGGGACTTTTCCACTGAATGTTTACAATAGCGCCGTCAGATCGTATTACAATAATATTGCACAGTGCTTTCTAACCGCTACAGTCTAGAACGTCTCGAAAGTTCACGCGCCAAACGGCATGAAACTTGGTTTATTGGGGTAAGGGGTTACAATAATTGTATGCAAATCTACTCAACATACATATCAAAACACGTATAACATAGTCAAGTCTTAATCTGCACATATTATGATATAGAACAATTCTAATTTGATATATACTACAGGGTGTATAAAAAAACTGAACAGATATGAATTTGCTTACGAACAGATACGTATATAGCTTCTTTGGGTACTTATAATGTAGAATAATGAAAAAGATTTCTCGAACTCAAAACTAGTGAACCAGGGGGGTGCGTCTTTTCCAACAAACTAAAAATGGCTTGCGCACGAAATTTGAAAGCTTCAATCATACGTTGAGTTAATAGATGGAAAATTTGTTGGGTTTTTAATTACTGTACAAAATTTCAGACAATTTGCTTTAGTTTAAGCCTTTAACTATTCACGCAAACTTACATTTTTTTCTAAAAAATCAGCTACTTGCATGCTTAAATAGCGCCTTTGCCTAATTTGCATATGTCAGAAATATGTAAATTAGGTAAAGGCATTAATTAAGCATGCGAAAGGCTTATTTTTTAGACAAAAATGAACAGTTAAAGGGCTTAAACTTATATATCAAAAACTGAATACTAATAGCTGTTTTGCGAAATTAAGAGCAATTTTAAATCTGTTCAGTTTTTTTATACACCCTGGATAAATAGTATGTAGTAACTTTTTGATCATTTTGATTGTGTCTTTTGTTTTTGGTGGAACAGCTTAGTATGGTTCTTTTAGTTCCTTTCTGTTCTTCCTTCTGCGTATATATTTTTATATTTATTATTTCTTGTATGCAGTAAAAATTTATTAATAAATACTGTAATACTCATTGTCCTGTGTCGATCTTATTGAGTCAATTTGTTTGTTCATAAAAACAACATGTCGGCAATATGTATGCATGAGAATACTATCTTATCTTATCAAAAGACCAAACATGTGTCAAAACCCTGCATATATTCACACATGTCATATAGTTAAAGAAGTAAATCGTGCGTAGGAAACGATCAAAACATTAAAAATGGACCTTTCCCCTTATAACTAAAATTTCGATCTGGACAAAAATTTCATCACAGCTTGAAAGAGCATCACAAAATTAGTAATATTTCAAAGTTTTGTTGCAAAATCTTGTAAAATGCGGATAATATAGCCTTGCGAAGTTTTTCGTTTTTCAGTCATTTTGTATTACAAACGGGAAATTGACATCCGATTCGGGTGTTGGGGCTGCAATTTCCTGTTTGTAATGCAAAATGACTGAAAATTGCAAATTTCGCAAGGCTCTATTTTCCTCATTTTACAACATTTCGCAACGAAACTTTGGAATATTACTAATTTTGTGATGCTCTTTCAAGCTGTGATGAAATATTTCTCTAGACTTGCCTAGATCAAAATTTTGGTTATAAGGGGAAAGGTTTAATATCGTGCATGTAGCATATCGAAACAAAGTATACTCCATTAAAAGACGCATGTGAGATTTGCAAAGGCGACAATAGTTCAAATGATAGACAATAATTTCTAAATAATTTCGCTTATGTGCTTCCGTCTAGGTCAAATAATGCGAGATGTGAACGGAATTTGTCCAGAAATTTGTCAGCTTAGGTGGCTATTAGCATATATTCGCTGATACAACCAATCAGATTTTAGAGTTTTACGAGGATACAAGCCTTTTCCGTCCTTATAGATGCAGGTGAACTACTAAGTACACCTGTATCGTCTTACATAATGAAATTCATTCAGTGGCACTTGTTCCGTGTTGCGTGTCCACTAATTGATCTTGAGCTGCCAGATTGATCTTGTACAGTCTTTCAGCAACGAAAGTTTACTCAAAATTTCTTGAAGCAAACAATGGGGATGACATACGATGTGTACCGATATTCTGACTTTATAGTACTTGTGTTCGGCACCATCGGTAATATTTTGGTTGCTATCTCCGTACTGAGACAAAAGACTGTGTTGGAGAACAGGCACTACTTTCTTGTCTTACAACTTGCGATCTGTGATCTGGGAGTACTAATCATCTACCTTTCGGATCGTATTGCTAGTTACTGGTATGAATCGCTTTTTACTTATTCCGTCATGTCTTGTGCTTTAACTAGTATATACTACGTCTTTCAAGTCGCAGGAATATGTATGATGTTGGTAATTTCATTGCTTCGTTACCGTGCTACGGTGCATCCATTAAAACCTGCCATTAGTCGACGGAAATTGAAAGTCGTTTGTGGTTTGGTGTACCTTTTTGGTCTCTTTGCGGGGTATGGAGTATTTCTACCGGATTGCTTTACGCAGGCACTTTATTTGAAATTTAGTTATGTATACACAATAGTAGTCTATTATTTTGCGCCGACAACATTTATGGCTGTAGTTTATTATAAAATAGGTCGAGCACTCGTCAAACAAAATAGACACATGAAAAGCGTACGTTCATATTCATCGAGACGAAATACACGTGCCTCTTCTTCCTTCAGTATCCTGAGATATATCAGAAATCGACGAACATTCCTTGTATGTCTTATTACGGTTATATGTTACGGAATTGCAAATATTCCTATATCTGTAGTCATTATTTTGGAAGTCGCTGGCGAATATTCTTTATCAAAGAAATATGCATGGAGTGTCTATTTTGCTAACGTTTTTCGAGTTGCTGGCTCGCATTCAGTAAATCCGCTTATATATGGAATATTGGACAAAAAGTTGCCCATATTTTGGAAACTTTGTCCCAAGAGGGAACGTAGACCACTACAGGGAAGTCAGGCATTTGTTGTACCCAATCAGACAAACGAGACAACGTTCACCGATTGTTAGGATCATCAGTAGATGAACGATTGTCCTTCCTGGGTTATTGAGACTATGCCATCATTTTCAAATATGTAGGAACAGATACCCCCAAAGCCTATTGTTGCACGATAAAAACAAGGAAATGAGAATGGGGGCGGGAGTTGTGCTCTCTGTAATTTAATACATTGTAATATAGTAACTTAATATATTTATAATCCTTACTCTTAGAGACGAAACATCACGTTTAATATTAAAACGTAAAGTAAACTATAATGCTTAGATTTACATTATTTTTTCGATCGAACCAAGAGCGGCCACAAAAAATAATACGGCATGGCCAGAAATTACGGACACGAATTATTCTGCCTTGCTTCGTAATTTGGATATCACGGTGAAATATGGCAGAAACTATTGGTCCTATCAACTTCTAATGCAGCGCGTTGTGATCAGCAGGTCGCTCTGAGGCAACGTCCGCTGTTCTTATTCAATTTGCAAGAAAGAGCGTTTTAAACAATTTTCGATATCTCGGAAACTATTGGTCCAATGGACCTCTATATGCAGCACTCAGCAAGTCACACACAGCGAGGATTTAGAAAAGAGTGTAAGCTTCGCGTTATACGTCGAACGGCAAACGCCAGGGGCCGGTTGTATAAAAAGGTGATTAAAGTTAACTATAGTTAGTGGAAACGTCATCCAATAAGAAGCGCGTATTTGAGAGTTAATCACTGTTTAACTACAAAATAGTGATTAAAAAAGTAATTAAGAGTTTTATACAACCGGCCCCTGGCAAACAAAAATGTTACGGTATCAGGCAATAAAGAGTAAATGAACTTGCTGTTTTAAAACTGAGATACATATAACTATTCTTTCGACGCAAGAAAGAAAATATGAAACGAAAACGTTCAACGAAAATTTTGCCAAGAAAGTTCGAACCTGCCGTTTGCCGTTCCCGGAAACGTGAAGCATAAACTCCCTAAACAATGAATTATATAACGCGACGTTGTCAATCGCAAAATCTGAGAATAAAGTAGGTCGTTTGCAACTTGCCCCAATCGCTGGCTGCAAAACGAAGTCTGTCGAAGTATTTAGTGTAATGTTGGCCAGTTTGCCTGATTTCAGTTACGTCCCTTTTTGCAGAGGTTAGTTTTTAGAATACTACTGCCGCTAGGAGCAAACGAAAATGCAGAATAGGCAGGCAAACATTACACTAAACATTTCTACAAACTTCGTTCGGCAACTAGCAATTGATGAGGCAAATTGCAATTAAACGACCTACCGTATTCTCTGATTTTGCGATTTACAGCTTCACGTAATATAATTTACTGTTTACTGCAGAAGCCATATTTTCAAAGGGTTATGCATCGCAAAACTTGCTGAACTTCATACATTATTTTCTCTTTGGCCAACCATGTAAAATCTCTTCATCTCAGCATAATTTTACAGATAAAGCACTCAGCATACTTTCAAAGTTCGTTTGCCGCATGAGAAACGTATCAAAAGTTTGAATAGTCATATTAAACCAAGTGGAAAAGTATACTCGTTAGTTTTGAGCGCGTGTTACGTAACATACTAAAGATTCTCCTCTTAATAATAAACACGCAAAGTGTACGGTATTACACGCAATGATTGTACCTGATATTGATCCAGCCCAGTAAACGCCCATCGTGACTGCCATACCCCACGAGAAATTGATGGAGAGAAACGTACCCCTTTCACCTTTACTCAAAACAGCCTGAGCCACTGAGGCATTCCCATACACCTTAAGATAAATTTTATAAAATAACATGTATATAACGCGTGCTCTGATTGGTCGAAACCCGTGTTTGGATCAGGCCATCGAAATACGGAAATTTAAAGTGAAAGTGAAATTTTAACACGGAAAGTTGTTATTTTATAAAACAATTACTTCATGGTTTCCGTGTTTGGATGGCCTGATCCAAACACTTGGGAATGTTGCTCGAGTTAAGAAAAGCGCGCAACTCGCCTTCGGGCAACATTCCGAAGTGTTTGATCAGGCCATCCAAACACGGAAACCAATAAAGTAATTGTATAGTCATTGATTGATCAATGAGCCAATTCCACGGAGCTCCATATATATCTGGAGCGAGAACTTAAGTCCAAAAAGTGAACCCAGCTTCGTGTTAACCGCGCAGACAAAAACAATACAAAGGGACTGGAACTGACGTCGAATCGCTCTTTCAATTTCCGCCATATTGGCAAAGAAAGTGCCGAAATTTCGTTCTTCACTTCGATTTAAAGACTAATATTATGATTAGCTGGAAAAAATTATTGGACGTTATTGGCCGCCATCTTGGCTTCACTTATCTCGATCATAGGCCGAATGACAGAAGTTCTTGCTCCAGATATATATATAGAGCTCACTGGTGAATTCGGATTGCCACTGCGCATCCAAATGATGCGTTCTGCGTCGCGATAACTTTCAGTTGAACTATCCAATGTTCAATCAGTCAGTCATCATTTGAATATGCAAAGTTTCCGGACGGTTGGTTCGCTTTAAATTAGAAAATATATTCCCTTAAGTGTACCTTTCTTTATTTTGCTTTACACAGAAGACAAAATATGCTAGTAGTAGTACATTGATCATTTTGTGGCTTTAAATGACACAAATCTCAGCTTCCTGTTATGATTCAACTGCAATTTATCCGCGTCATTTGGATGCTGGCAGTGGAAATTCTGATCGGCAAACATTGGGAATGCGCAACATTTTTTAATGTCATGCAGAAATATGACTTTACTGATTTATATATATGATATACTGTTTACGACATTCTTAGAATTTGAACAAGGATTAGTTTTGTTTTATATTTGTAGTTATACATTTGTATGTCATTTGCGTTTTTTCTGTATACAGCTAATTCAAAAAAGGTTATCGTTTGCGAACCTTAAACTCTAAATCTTAAACCTTAAACTCTAAGCGCGCAAAGCACAATGGGAGCATCATTTAATCAGTTTAGAAATCATATATGGGGCCCATTTCGTAGAGACATGGTAAATATCTCCTTATGAGAACAATTCATTCACAAAAGCTGCAATATTCGACTATTAAGCTTTAAACTCATGCTCCCATTAAGGTTTGCGCACTTAGAGTTTAAGGTTTAGAATTTAAGGTTTGCAAACGACAACCTTTTCTGAATTAGCTGTATGTATTTATATACCAAAGCTGGTATTGAAACTATTGATGTTGTTGATTAAATTAATAATAGCTTACCAAAAGTATAAAGGTTCCCATGAATTCTGCCAAAGCTTCACGCAACCATGGGGGAGTGTTGAGCTTCAATCTCGCCAGGAATCTTGGCAAATCACTATAATTTAAGGAAGAATTAACAGGACTTTGTTGGAAGTCATTGGTCTACCTTGCCTTTTTGGGTTTGGGCTAAAACTAAATTATTCAGCGTCCAATAGACCTATTGCCTAATAACCAAAATTTTGATCTCAACAAGTCTAGACAAAAATTTCACCACAGCTTGAAAGAGCATCACAAAATTAGTAATATTCCGAAGTTTCGTTGCGAAATGTTGTAAATGCATTTTACAACATTTCGCAACGAAATTTCGGAATATTACTAATTTTGTGATGCTCAGTTTTCAAGCTGTGGTGAATTTTTTGTCTAGACTTGTCTAGATCAAAATTTTGTTCATTAGGGAATAGCTAGGTCCATTTGTATCCGTACACCACAAATTGACATGGTTTTTTGAAAAGGAGCCTTGTTGAAAAGGTTTTTGTTTTCGTGTGTAAATATACAGAAATGCTTTGAACGCAAAAAACCTGGCGCCAGCTTCATATGTATTAATTTGATATTTTGACACACCGAAGTAAAAAAGTTGCCCATGATCTCCATCTTCCTAGCAAGTGTCGGTCGCGCGGCGATTATTAATCATTTGGTAACACGTCATTGCTTTCAAAAATGCTTTCAACACCTTTTCTGCAACTTTAATTGCTTTCAACAACTTTAAACATTCAACAAATTATGCTTTTGATTGTTTAATCCATAAATTTCGATCCAAAAAAACCGCAATAAAATGCAAAAGTTCGTGCTTTTCAGGACGTCATTTTGCTAGCAAGTGTCATGGCGGGGAAATTTGAGGACATGAAGTCCCACTAAGTTACACATCTGGTATATACTTCATCTGTGCCGAAGTTTGTGTTGGCTGCTTGGCTGTCGTGTGTACGGTTTTCAAGGAAGAAAACTTGACAAGTATTTGCTCATTACGTCACTGCATGCCACAAGCTAGAAGTTTTTTATGAAAGTGTAACACAATACAGTAAAAAGCCTCCTATCTGGAACAGCCTGAGTTACCCTAGGCTGTTCCAGATAGGTTTACTGCAAAATGTTCGGAATAAATCACAACGCCGATTCGAGTCCTTCGACTGTGCTAAGAATCAGTGTCGTATTACAAAAAGTAATTAATATAATACTTATCTAAATTAGATTTAATTAACATGGTTGATCTAATAAGCCGATGATATGAAATATACAATAAACTATATACAGTTCGTTAATAAACGGTTGCGCTGTAGGTTTCTCGAACCGAAAGATGCAGTGTCAAATATAGGTGCACGTAGCCCCTAATAAAAAACAACGAAGTGTGTTCAGTCATTGGAGTGTTCAATTTCACCAGTGTTGGTAGTAAATTTCGCTCAAGGAAGCAAAATTAGTTCGAGATAGCGGAAAGTTTGAGATATTAATTGTGATTGAAATAGTATGGGCAAATTCACGGGAAATGGGTTTCATGCAGTTCGAAACATAGCATTATAGGCCAGGTAGCGAGAAGTATATGGTACGTTCAGTATAGGGTACCTACTGTGTACTAAAAGTTGCACTATAAATGTACATGCACTTTCAGTGTAAAAGGGAAGCTTCACACCATGTGTTGAACAACTGTAGAGACCTAAAGTATTAGATTATTTATATAAACTTAAAAAATATATACATAGGTTTATATAAACAACGAAGCAATTGCTAAGAAAAAGACAAGTAGCCTATCAAATATCAACTTGACTTTAATCCGTAAGTCAATATTTTGCATAGTTTTATCCCAAAACATATGGAAATATGCATCATCATAAGACTTAGTTGGCGGACTAAAATTCATAGCAAAATAGGCTAATAGCTAATCTTGAATATTGCGTATTTAAGTTAAATGCTGTTTACATTACATTCTTGAAGTTATGCAGTGAATTTACATGTATATGACAACGAACTTGGGCTCATAATTATCACTTTTCACGCCCGAATACATCAGCCAACAATTCCGTAACCTCACATCGAAGACGAAGATCGACTACACATGAACTACAGCGCAAGCTTCGAATCTGTCTTTAGTGGAGTTTTGCTGTGAATATATAGTGTCATATCCCCCTAATGAAATATATTTACGTTGTATCCCATATATGGCGAATATTAACGAACATGCACATTCATTCAATCTGTCTCTTACTTTTGCTTTCTCCTTGTGGCTTGAGCAGAGGATTGGAGCAACGCAGGCATTTCGGACTGTTCGGCCATCTTTAGTTGTGTATATTTACACTGGATTTATCAGAAATTTGAAGAACGTTTAATAACAGCTTAGCCTCCTCGATTATACAGTGTAAGCGCAGTTATCTTTACACCCCGCGCGAGTAATACAATACCACGATTAACAATGAATACGTATTATAAGATGATATTATCAATCGTCCATATGACCTCTTGACATCGAGATCATCATATAAAGCCGTGTTTAAATCCACCACCTGTCGACCTTTTTGGCTTGGCTCGAGTTGTTAGAGAGAGGTTCAAATTTGACTACCGCTACACACGTAAAAACGCGCAAGTTGTTACAGTTCTGTAACAAGAAGTTGTAACAAGGTTGTTGTCAAGCCGATATCAGGATCTGTTCGCACTGCTTGTTCCCAGTTGTTGTGACATGTCTGGAACAAGATGTTATCACCTTGTTACAAGGTTGATGACGGTAACAGACTTCTGTTCGTAACAAGTGGCTACGAGCTTGTTGTCATCAACTTGTTAACAACTTGTTACGTGCAGACGACATCAGACTTGTTCCAACAACTTGTTGCGAGTCTGTTGGCCGCATCAACCTTGTTACAAGATGATAACAACTTGTTCCGGGCTTGTCATCAAGTGAACAACTGTGAACACATCTTTTTGACAAGCTGTGAGATTTTTAACAAGAATTTTGCAAGTTTACCAGGGTAAAATTATTTTTGATTAGTCGCGCAAAATGCAACAAAGTCGAATTTTGTTTCTGCCCCCTCCCCCCCGCCCTCTAATTTTCCCCTCCCGTAAGCCTATGGATGCGTTTAATCTATCCAGGTTAACCAATCAGATGCAGACAGAGCAACTGAAAGGCAACTGGTAGCGGTATAGTAAACAAACTGCTCACGCAAGTCATTAATTCGTCTGAGTAGACCAACTACACAAAAATTTGTGATTTACTGATTTACAGTAATAAAGTATAGCTCGGGAAAGGCGATACTGCGTATAGCTATCAAAACAACATGGCCGCGCATACTGGCAGGCAAATAATAATAGTAATAATAATAATAAAACTTTATTTCAGCACGGTAATCTCATCAGGATTTCTATGAAAATGAACTGAATTCAGTTGAGAGACTGTGCCTGCCGCAGCCCGATTAGAACATTAGGAAGACTGTTCCAAAGCACCGCACCACTATAACTAAAGCTGTTCTTTGTCTCATAAATGAATTGAGGTTGCACTGTCACGGTCTGTAAACATGGAATGAGTTATATTCAGGAGCAAGCCCATTGAGAGATTTGTAGACTATGACAGCCTTTCGAAACTTGCGCTGTGATGCTAGTTTTTTCCCCATCCTATCTTAAATTTAAATATAAAATCAATTGCAGTGCCCAAAGTTAGACATCGCTTTATATTTGTCTAAAGGCCGTTTTCCACTAGGCGGAATTTTCCGCCCGGAGCGGAATTTCTCTTTGTTTTTTTCTAATTAGTTCCACCCGAGAAATCACGAGACAAAGAAAAATTCCGCTCCGCGCGCAAAATTCCGCCTAGTGGAAAACTAGGCGAAATTTTTCGACCGAATCGAAATTTCTCTTTGTTTCATGAGCTCTCGAGCAGAACTTAAGGCGGTTTTCCACTAGGCGAAATTTTTCGACCGAATCGAAATTTCTCTTTGTTTCAGAGCTCTCGAGTAGAACTAATTGTAAAAAGACAAAGAGAAATTTCGTTTCGGTCGAAAAATTCCGCCTCGTGGAATCCGGCCTTAAGGCGGTTTTCCACTAGGCGAAATTTTTCGACCGAATCGAAATTTCTCTTTGTTTCAGAGCTCTCGAGCAGAACTAATTGTAAAAAGACAAAGAGAAATTTCGTTTCGGTCGAAAAATTCCGCCTCGTGGAATCCGGCCTTTAATTGTAAAAAGACAAAGAGAAATTTCGTTTCGGTCGAAAAATTCCGCCTCGTGGAATCAGGCCTATAGTTCCATCCGAGAAATCACAAGACAAAGAAAAATTAAAACGGTCTTTAGTGCGCATTGTTCAGTTTGTTAATTTGTTAGTCTGTTTAGTTTGTTAGTCTGTTACTTAGTCTGTTAATTTGTTAGTATGTTAGTTTGTTAGTTTGTTAGTCTGTAAGTTTGTTAGTATGTTAGTTTGTTAGTCTCGGTTAATTTGTTAGTTTTGTTAGTTTGTTAATTTGTTAGTCTGTTAATTTGTTAGTTTGTTAGCCTTGATATTCTTCTCGCTTGTGGTGCACTTGTTTTGTGCATGCTCTAGGCTAGGACACCGCACTGTGGTACTATGTCTGCTTATAGTTCATGATTCTATGGCCTTACCTTGTATCAGATTCTGCACTTGGCGGTATACTGTCAGGCGCGTGACTACCAAGTAACGTGGAACTACTATTAACGTCTAAGCCTTCCATATTCACTACAATTTGTATTACTTGAGTGAAAGGTGCCTGTAATATATTGTTTATAAAAATAAACTTATGGCTACCTTTCCAGGTTTTCCCTTTCTTTTGGATTAAATTGTGTGTTTGGATACTTTTTAATACAGCTTTTTATGAGTTTATGTGCTGTATAGCCTGCGCGCAGTCTCGTGACATCGATCTTATGACTCGGCGCAGGCTATTCATACTAGATCAGATTTCACGCGCATGTGAAACCCAACTCTAAAGGTGCCCATTCGACAACGCGACGTGATTTTTCGATTTTCACTGACCGATAACTTTGATCCTAGTTTAAATTTTCCGAATATTTAGAAGCGCTATAACATTTTGAATTATTTGGTCTACATATCTTTCAAAATTTGCTGTCATTGGCTGTTTTATTAACTTTCAAAAACTAAAAAATCACGTCGCATTGCCGAATCGCGCCCGGTGTGTCTGGACTTTAAAGCCTGTTTTCCACCAGCGAATTTCTTCGCGCGAAACGAATTTTTTTATTGTTAAAATTGAAAACAATTCATTAAAAATCTAATCAGTTCCAGCCGAGAGGTTATAAGACAAAAGTTTCGCGCGAACAAATTCGCCGAGTGGAAAACAGGCTTAAAAGTAACGCGCCCCTGAGAGCCACATTTTGTTAGTCTGTTTTAATAATTTTAATATTATGCCTGCGGTTGGATCTGATTTGGTGAAGTGATAATTTGGACGGACAAAAAACAATTTTGTAACTGGAGCAAAATACATTGAAACAGAACCAATGTCACGCGCTGTGCAAGCTATACGTCTTCCGTAGGCGCTTAGGGAGCATTTCGGGCAGGTTCGGAAAATTCGCTTTACGTTTCTAAACGTGGCCCGCAAATTTGCACCGCCCGCAAATTTGCCCGGAAAAGGGCCTGCGCAGGAGGTAGCTGTGCAAGTATTCCCAGGCCAGGTGACAAGTGAAGCGAAGCAAATAGGATTGAAAGGTTAAATAATCACATAGTTTTTACAGAGATCCGGCTGATAATCCCGAAAAACATTCTGAGCCAGAAATCAAGTCTAATATAGTTTTGCTAGTTCAAAGTCGAACTTTTAAATTTTAATGAGGGGCCTCACCCGGGCCTCTACCGGTTTCGCGGGTGGCGGGATGTGTCCAAAATACATTCGGTATTTTAAGAGAAATATCGGGTCGAGAAGCGGGCATTTTATATCCGATCGTGAGAAGTGAGATTGATAAAAATACCATGGAGAGATACGGGAAAGTAATCCATGATCAGCGGGATGCGGGATAAATCAACAAAACTTGCAGCCGTATTAAGTTAACTTAATCTGTATCGGATCTGTTGTCATTTGTTTGCCTGCTCGTAATTTACGGTTTTTAATTAAGATGATATTGTACATTTATGAATGCGGCTTTCACAAGAGATTGACTGGCATTTATTACTTTTACACTCTGCTATATTGTTGTTATCACGTTCTTCGAATACCTGGTTATCCGTTGTCTACATCTAAATCATAATACGTATACGTTGAACCACTGTTAGGAAAAAAGGCGGGATCTGGAAATTGGGATGAGGCCCTCTTTAATGTCCGAGCCAGAATGCAAGTGAGGCAACGCCTCAATGGGAACACCAAATTTTAAACCACAGTTGCAATGTTCCTCACAGACATGTTTTTGAACATTTTTTTAGCCAGAACTATTGGATAACATGGCTACCCATCGCATTTCCTATGATATAGTTGAACAACGCAATATGTTACTCGCGCTATATTTTTAATTATAGTATCGTCAGACTTTCTTTGTCTCCACGAGTCCCTGTTATTTGATAGTCCGAAAGGTGGATTATTAGTTTATAAGATAAATGCGATATTTCAATATGATAATACAATATTTAAACTATAGACATCAATCAATTCGAAAATTAATTTTTGAGAAAGATTTCGTCTTGGGGCTGATTTTTCTCACAGTGCAGGTGAAAACTCCCATGTGTAGAGCGTTAACACCTACTTATTTGCGATTGGGTGTGAAAAACACCCAAGGCGGTTAATGCCGAATGTTTTTTTTTCTTTTTGTAATCGTATACCTGTGGTTTTCGCAAAATATAATTTAGCCTTGTGTAAGCAACCTCTTCAAAATGATGACATATCAAAGGAAAAATGTGTAAATATTTTAAGTTTCGTGGATGAACAAAATTGCCATTAATTAATACATTTGACCTACATGCGAGCTGGTGTCACAACAGTATTTCTTTCATGCGTCGGCATATGGTATAGCAGATTCGATTCTTTCTGTGCGCAACTTTCTGATTATTGTAGGGTCTTTGCAGTAAATAGGTAGATAGATAGAAACTTCATTTTAATTAAGAGGTTAATTTAAAACATAAAAGTGCGAACACTAATAATCTAGTGCCCATCATTGAGTAGAATATTATAAATATTTACAATATATAGTATAGGGATCAGGAATATATTTATACAATAATGCAAAAATAGTGCTAAATTTAACGATCCAAAGTTGCAACGTTTTGATGTTAAAAATAGCATGCAGCATCGAAGAATGCAACTGAATATAGCCCACCCCCTTTATAGGCCTAGTAGGAATCAAACCTGTGCCCATGTGATTACGTGCTTAATAGAATTGATGCTGCCTAATAGAATTGAACCATACAAAGTCCAGTTGTCGAGCTCAACCGCAAGTTCATGTAAGGTGATGCCAAAGAAAGGTTTATGGGTAAATATCAGGATATCTCACAGTAATTCTCACTCGACAAAATAGAACTAAATGTTAACTACCTGGAGAATATAAGGGCCCTTCGTCAGTTCGTCTGGAGTTACTGGAGGCCCTTCGTCTGTAAGTGTAACTCCATACGAAGCACCTTCGCTTGAAACGTCGAAATTCTCCTTATATTTTTCAGGTAGTTGCACCCCTACTGCATGACGAAAGCTTGTTAATATTATTGGCACTATGCCTACACTGGCACAGACAGTTAATTCAAGATTATATCGCAGAACTAAATGTTGCCGATGAGAAAAGGAATGCTTTATAAAACCGTATACAACGCCAACTGACATGTATGATGTATGCCGTATGGATTAAGATTTAGGACCCATGATTATTAATTAAAGGAACGTTTTTAAAAACAACAATATAAATAAGGGTATAGATACGCTAACAATTTGCTAAAGAAACAAACCATGTTACCTCATTTTCACAGCTTGTCTTTGCGTTTGTAAAACTGGATTTTTTTCTGTCTTTCTCGGTGACCTCCCGTTGAATAGTTGATCCTCTTTTGCGGCAAATAACGAATGAATGAGAGTTATGGCAAATGTTACGAGTTTGTCAGGCTATTGTTGACATTACACTTTCATTTGATCAGTTTGATGGACCGGTTGATATAACCTAACATGGGGTGGCAAAACATGGTGTCAAATTTCCAAAGCGAATTAAATTAAATTAAAACAAATTATTTTATTCTCCCAGCCCGTATATGCGTTCGAAATTCGACATCTAATTTACTTACCATACAGAATAATACCTATGGCTACAGCATTTGTATTTTATAACTACCAAAAAAATGTCAAATGACTCGCCTATATACCTATACATGCATGCGCTGGACCACCGCCACAAACTATAGTATCTAACCACAGCCGGCCCAATCTTGCATGCAAGGGTCAGTATAGACTTATAGTAATGTATATTATAGTAAATAGTAATGTATATTATAGTAAAATATGTCATAAAATATAAATTTAAAAATGAAATTGACTTGCCTATTTGATAGTGCGTGTTCTCCTTTTATTCCTCCTTTGTTGGACTAATATTTTCTGAAACTGTCTGTACCAGTGTAGGTAGTACCAATGTGAAAACGCTGTGCTGACTGGTTATATTACTACCTTAAAAAACAAGCAGAAACTCGACGTTTCGAGCGAAGGCCCTCCTTACTCTCCTTCGCTCGAAACTTACTAAGCAACTTAATTAACAAGCTTCGTTTCTTAACAAGCAGAAACGTCGAGTTTCTGCTTGTTAGAAAACAAGTAGAATCTCGACGTTTCGAACGAAGCCTCGAAGGGCCTTCGCTCGAAACGTCGAGTTTCTGCTTGTTTTTTTTAGGTAGGATATAACCACTCAGCACAGCATAATATTTTCCGAGACTTTGTACTCGATGATACATGATACATCATGCATGTATACTAGTATACCATCGAGTACAAAGTCTCGGAAAATATTAGTCCAACAAAGGAGGAATAAAAGGAGAACACACACTATCAAATAGGCAAGTCAATTTCATTTTAAAATTTATATTTTATGACATATTTTTACTTTTATATACGTTACTATAATATACATTACTATATACGTCTATACTGATCCTTGCAAGATTGGGCCGCCTGTGATTTAACAATATAAGCTGCAGGTTAATATATATGGGGATATATAACTACCTGAAAATATATAGTAAACTACCTAAAACTCGGAAGTTAAAAGTCATTTACATACGCTAACACAGACTGTTTCTGTTTATTTAACAATAAGCATTCAACGGCAAACGAGAAACGTCAGGCAAAGAAAAAATTTAAGCTACAAAGCAATAAAAAGTAAATGGGCTTGTTGTTTTATAACTAGAATGCTTAACTATTCCTGTGTCATATGAAAGAAAATATGACACGAAGTCGAAGAAATGGAGTAAAAATTATGCCAAGAAAAGTTGGTCTTGCCGTTCCCGCAAACGCGAAGCTTATATAAACTCCCTAATATAAGCTGCAGACGTTTGTTTAAACTACGCTGAAAAGATTAAAAGCACTTTTACATTTGAAACGAGGAAGGTTTTTGCACTTCACCGTCTTCGCTCTATATATGAAACGTCGAATACATTTTATCATGCAGAGTCACTCCGGAGTCATGTAGTTCACTCATTTTCACTGAGTCATCTCATCTTTTAATACTAAATTTTAAAGGACACTTACTTTTCAGTGCCAGCCGCTGTCCCAAAAATGTTATGCTGTTTGATTGATATAGCAGAAAACTGACAGCTGTTCCTCTCAAAATAATTTTATATCAGTCGTTTTATTTCAATTATGGATCTGATCATCTCGGGCTACATATATACAGTCTTTACACCTTGACCTTGATATACTTTGATTTTTAATCAGCTGGTAGACTGGAAAACAACACTTGCTAGAAAACTATTTCGTATACCAGACGAACAAAAAAAATTTTAGTCGCGCGCACACGCCCTCAGCCTCAGGCTATTATTTCATGTTCATTAACATCAAAAGAAAAACAGCAGTTCTCAGCAGGTAAAAATACGTACGGTGCGTTTCTAAGATAATATTTACAATGTGTGAAATACATTATTATATCATGCAAACAACCGTCAAACCAGCATCACACACATGAGACCACAGTCGCCTAAATACTTTAGATGACATCGTCTGGTAAACATGCGGTGCGCATGTACTCGGCAGGATACCCATTTTCTTGAATACTGATATCAGATGGTTGGCAAGGCCATTCCACCGCTTTGACCGACATTATACAGCTGGTTTTTACCTCCTGTTAATCAGATGACCGCGTATATACCTGAACTCGTATAGACGAAACAACGAAACAATTGCAGCCGAGATCCCGCTCGTATAATATTAAAAGATCCAACCCCATATAGAAGTTCTGTCGTCTACGAGTTATATGTCCAGGCCGGATAGCCAGAACACGGAAACTAAGTGAAATAATCCATAGAGTTGACCAATGCAGGTCTATAATACAACGGGGCAAAGCTTTGGAATAGCCTTTCTCGGGAAGCAAAAGAAGCTCAATCAATTCATATTTTCAAACAAAATATTAATCTTTGACTCTGTTACCAATGTTAATATATGGGTCACACCTCCTGTGATCCAGCATGCGCTTTTGTAAATAGTTTGTTCTTTGTTTCTATTTATTCTTTTGTAAATATTAATATTTGTATAAAATGTTTAGGAACGAACTTTCCCTAAGTCTCATGTTAATAGTATATTTTGTGTTCAATATATAGACCACAGTAAGACTTTTTTTAAATGTTTATTTCATTAACAAACGACGTTTAAATTCAAATTGTAATCCTATTAACTACCTGAAGATGGAGTAAATCTCCGAAACGTCGTTTGTTAATGAAATAAACATTTAAAAAAAGTCTTACTGTGGTCTATATATTGAACACAAAATATTTGTATATAAATTGACGACGCCCCTCATGAAAACCAACTTATGTTGATGAGGCTAGCGTCATGAAATAAATTTTAACGACACAATACGAGCCTGTTTATATGATCAGACTTCATGCCGCATAGGCGGGATCGTAGCGTCTGTTGGTGGTATCCTACCCAATGCGCAACGACGACAAATTCCCATATGGACACTCTATCCCGGCTAGGCGTGATCAAATTTGTCTTCTGAGCAAATGAATTGATAGAATATTTTAGGAACGCTTCCATGGCCACAGCTGTAATGAAATTTGCATATTTTTTTCAAACTTTCACGAATCAAATGTGATCTCTTAGGTCTTCAAGCCTATCAAGGCTTTCATCAAAGGCTCTCAGAAATTATTGAAGGGTGGGGCGTAGCCCCCCAGTGACCCACTGTATATACTTCGTTGTGCCGTACAGCATTTTATTTAAGTTCATGCATAGACAGCAATGTATGTTACACTTCTATATACATCAATACATGTCTCGCAGGCGAGCGCCAAAATTGAAATTTACATTTTTGTGAATACATTGAATAAAGTCCTAGAACGTCTTTTTTCATTTTCGTAGATTGGTGGAGTTTTGGTCAGGATAACGACCCCAGGTAATGGTCGGGCGTGGTCTATATATCGGCTCAGGACTATAAATTATATTGTCTCAAACAAACACAGTAAAACTCCGCATATAAGAACCTAGATTTTCCAAGTTAGCCTAAACAGGTTCTTGTAAACGGTGCTTACCAGGAAATTAGGCTAAACAGTTTCTTATTAAATAGGTTCTTATTTTCTTAAGAGAAAAGCGACTCATTGAAGGGAGGTATGGTATATGATTTACGCAAATTATACACAAATGATCAAAAACTGAATGACAGTATATGCACTATACCAACTCTATTATATATATGCACTTTATAATTAAAGCTACAGACTACAGTACACTGATTGTAACTTATGACTTAATTAATTTGATATAAGAAATTCTAGCCTGAACAGGTTCTTATTTACAGGGGGTCTAAATAAAATATTTTAGCCTAACAGGTTCTTATATGCGGGGTTTTACTGTAAGATAAGACGATCGAAACACACTTCGAATCTCTGCAGTTGATTGCTAAATCAATTCGCATGCACTAATCCGAGAAACTATAACCAGCCATGGCAGCTTGCTTTCGTAATCTATCTGTTTTCTTATACAGTAATTTAAAGCTACGTTTTCGCCGTTGTCTTTCGTCTCTTAGGCGGTTTTAGAAAAGGGTTATCTGCCGGTTCTTGTGCTGGTTTTTCGCTCGCACTGTCCTCAGAATCTTGTGATGCTTTGTCAGGTTTGGTTGGCACGATGGCGTCTTCAGCTGTGGGCATCAGTGCTGTTAAGTACGGCAATGTTGCTGGTTCGTTTACTATTACTATAAAGCAAAACATAACATAATATATGAGTCTTACTCTGGTTAAAAATCCCTGCATGTTAATCTAAAATTAACCCTAACTGTTTGGCCAGTAACTTAACGTTCCTGGTTAAATTTACAGGCAAATTAACCACAGTATGGTTAAGCATAGACCGTGCGACCCAATTTTCTCCAGGTGGTTGCGGCTAAATTCGTCCATAGGAAATACGTACGCATCTCTAGTTAATATTGATGTCGGGACTCTACTGCAAATCGCCCAGCAAAAAACCGGCAAACCATGAAAAAAATATAAAAAAAAATATTTCCGACCTACCGACCCTAATTTTTTCACAATATGAAACTGGAACCAGTGAAAGCCATTCGTCCATTGGTACAACGTTATTACTCTAGGAAACCGTCACTTGAAAGCCTATACATATTCTCACTTGAGACTAGCCTGTGTACAGCCGTAATCAAATTGATTATCAATTTCCTGTTTGTAATGCAAAATGACTGAAAAACGGCAAACTTCGCAAGGCTATAATGCCTATATTATCCGCATTTTACAACATTTCGCAACGAAACTTCGGACTATTACTAATTTTGTGATGTTCTTTCAAGCTGTGATGAAATTTTTGTCCCGGCATATCTAGATCAAAATTTCACTCATAAGGGGAAAGGTACAAGAAAAGAAATAAAGAGTACTAACATAAATAGTTTTCGGGATTGGCGCAGTTTTTGACGATCGGTTCAGAAATCGATGTCTTTGATAAAAATCTAAAAAGAGTAAAGAAAAACAACTTTTAAAATGCTCCATTTCCAAGAAAATCAGTTTCTTTTGTGACATACTCACTTTGCCAGTCCAGTCTCCACATCTCGACGCATGGCGGCGTATTTTTCTCGACATTGTTCGTATTCATCCGCTTCTTTACGATACGTCTGAAGTTAACAACATAAGAAAATGTTTTAGCGAATGCGACATTGTTTTAATTGGAGTCTAACAGCAAACAATGTGTGACCTCCTCCCCGTAGGCTTAGAGGGGAACACCCCATAGGAGAACGTTATGAATGTTAGCCGAGTATACATCCTCCAGCGCACTCCTTGGTTACATATACGTATAGGCTATAGTGATTTGCATATATACAGTTTTGTAACATACAGCTGCAATACTTGTTTTCGTGAATGAAAACTTAAGTGGGGGAAGAGTGTAACATAGTTGTATTTGCACTCGGACAGCAAACAATGTATGACGTAGTTATGTTAATTGATAATTACCAGTGCACATGAAAAGGGTCTCTACTCTATGAGTAGAGCTCGAAAATAATAAAGGGAACTTGAACTGCATTTCAACGTGTTTGTATCTGTTTCATGCTCTATTAAAGTTTGGTTCGTTACACGTTACACTATATAAAGTATTTCACACTAGAGCAGAAAATTACAAAATTACAAATTCAGTTTTCAGATTCGAGTATTCAACTATGTCACCTGTTTACCAATATATAAAGATACAGGGTGTTTAAAGCCAGTCCAACATCGTCTACTATTGTTGGACCGACAATTTTGAACGAGGATTTTGTAGTCCAATCTGATCTGTACATCAAACATGGACTAGTGTTCAAACGACTTAAAACCAGCATTATTTGCTAGTAACAGATTCATTGGCCCTTGCCCATGAGCATGTAAATGATAGCAGGAACCCAACAAGAGGTATTAAGCATTTTGGACTTGCGGTGAATCCGGAATTCTTTGCTTTCTTTATATTGTAAATGGGATTCCGATCAATTACACCAACACAGCAAATATCAAGTCCAGTCAATCATGTAGTTCAATTTAAATTTCAAGAAACTCACCAAAGTTTTGACATACGAATGCGGATCTGGGAATGATGGTAGGTAGTTTGGAACATACGCTGGTCGGGCTTCTTTAGTTCCTGATTGAAGTGGTTTAGGTTGTTGAAATGGACGACTAACGGTCGCTGAAAATTACAACGGAATGACAATTTATACACCAGGGTGTTTCTTTTGTCTTCAAACTTCAGAGAATGAGATATGCAGCATGAGATACTTACGCCTAGGAATTAATGTTTTTGTTGTGCGTGGTAAATTTGTATTTAATTCATCCACATTCAAGCCTGTAAATAAAAACTAGTAATATAAGAAAGCTGCCAATATTAACAAAGCTGGAGATTGATAGAGAGGCAACTCCCTGAAAAATACAAGGAGAACTTCAACGTTTCGAGTGAAGGCCTTTTGTCGGGAAGCTAGTACTAACTTTCCAAAGAAGTCTTCTCTTAAAAACGTCAAAGTTCTCCTTGTATTTTTCATGTAGTTGTATGCCTAGGGACCAATGGACCATTTGCATAATAGACTAAATTTTGATCTAGACAAGTCTAGACAAAAATTTCATCACAGCTTGAAAGAGCATCACAAAATTAGTAATATTCCAAAGTTTCGTTGCGAAATGTTGTAAAATGCGGATAATATATACAGCCTTGCGAAGTTGGCCGTTTTTCAGGCATCAATTTCCCGTGCGTAATACAAAATGATTGAAAATCGCATATTTCGCAAGGCTATATTATCCGCATTTCGCAACGAAACTTTGGAATATTACTAATTTTGTGATGCTCTTTCAAGCTGTGATGAAATTTTTGTCTAGACCAAAATTTAGTCTATAATGCAAATGGTACATTCGCAACTTTCTTATTATGTGTACAGTACATGTATATTCTAGATAGTAAGTACTAACCCATTTCAACCAAAGCTAGCCTAACATCATTGAAAGTCGGCTTCGACCTCCCAGAAAGTTCACAAATTGACAATGAACTACGACCAATTTCACCTATGTCTAGAAAATTAACAATTCACATGAAACTGGCCCAAATTCAGAAATGGCACATTTATACCATATTGTAAGTAAGGCGTAAAAAAATACCTGTGGTTCCGGTTCCCAACCGACACTATTTTTTTCTGCCGACCCTATTATTTTTTCAACGCGATTGACCGTGTGACCCTATTTTCTCCAGGTGGTTGTGGGCCGCTCATACAGATGCCAAAATGGCGTCTGTTGTAACACTAATTATTGAATCAAATTGCCTAAATTCGTCCATAGGAAATACGCATCTCTAGTTAATATTGATGCCGGGACTCTACTGCAAATCGCCAGCAAAAAACTGCCAAAACCATGAAAACTAAATATTCAACCTACCTAAATATCCGACCTACCAACCCTAATTTTTTCACGATATGAAACCGCAACCACAGGTTTTTTTTTACGCCTAACTACATGAGATCTATCCTACTTAATTACAGGCGGAATTAATATAAAGACCATTTATTTCCACTGATCGCAGTGGTTCTCAGTGGTCTAGAGGTACAGCTACCAACCAGTATGCATGTGCATCCTGGTTCAGTTCCTGCATGAGTTCTTTTCAAATCTTTTTTCTCTCATTTTTACTAAGTCCTGAAATAAAGTATTTTTAAAAAAAAAACATTTCTGTGAAATGCTTTTAAAAAAGATACTTTACTTCTAACACAATATATACTCAAAAGTGTAGAGGTTAGAATAAGATAAGAGTTAGGATCAGGCTGTTCAGGCGCCAGGGTGGAAAGTTTGTAGGTTGCGCCGAAGATCTTTGGCGTGGAAAATTCACAAATTTGCTCCATTTTGGCACAGAATTATGGGAAAATGAACTGGTGTGCATGGTGCACTGGCGTACAAAAATTTATTTAGTTATGCACACTACAACATTCTCAGACATTTCTGTGTGTATTTCAGCCATGTAATAACAGGAATTTGATTGAGCACTGACTGTGAATATGTTTAAAACAGGACTGGCGCATGTTACTGAACCTTGATCAAATCTTCGGCGCACAAAAAACAAACTTTCCACCCTGGTGCAGGCATATGTGGCATTCCTGTAATTAGGTGCAAATAGACAAATTATTGGCTAAAAAACATTTATACCCAATTCACAACTTCAGATAACTCGCATGCTTAATTACCATTGTTATAGTATACAGATCAGCATAGAATAGAACAAATATGACTATAAATGCTTTAGAATTATCTACATGACTCATCATGCAGTGATGAGTGAATATTAAACACTTTTATACAATCAACTATAATGCATTTTTTTATAGTTACTATCTAAAGTTGTGAATTGGGTAGCAACCCCAAATTGTCTATTAGTTGAGCACACTACAACACGATGGCAGTGTACACTGACACTGTCTATCAGACACTGACACTGTCTGACAGTCAATTCCATTATTCCAATATTCGAACGTCAATTATTATTTGTAAAAACACGTTATAGAAGACCAAAACTTACAACTTTGAATCATTTCAGTCAAAGTTTCAATCGCAAGTTTAGTAATAGAATCATAACCTTTCTCCAAGCACAGAGCACCCACGGCAGCTTTTAGATATTTTCTGTGCACTGCTGTGGCGTCCGCCATATTGAATTTTATTTTTCCAAAATATATACGGTGTTTCCATATGAGAAATACGGAATTCGAAGCAAGAAATGCCGATTATGTTTAGATATCTTTTGAACCCTTGAAAAGACGGATATAAATGGCTTAGAACAATCTTGTCTTTCTATCTGTTTTTGAGAATTGTTCTTAGATTTCCAGTACTTTCGAAAACGGTCTATCACACTGTGTACGGCGCTAAATTTTCTAAGAAAACAGACCACAACCATATATGGAGCTCACGCACGGCTGTCAACAATAGCTTTATGATCTCAGGGTAGGGTAGGAAGGTCTTTGGAGGTTGATATTTTGATTTGTATTCTTTAAACTGAAGCTTTCTAAAGCTTAAAACCAGCATAAAAGTCTTGGAATAGAAGTTATAGTTTGGAAATAATGCAAATAATTGCTTATAATTCTAAATTATCTTTGTGAAGTACAAATTTTAAATGTTATTTTTCATTCCCACCTACCCTTGGTGGGTAGGTATATTGTTACTTTGCTTCTCTTTGTTCGGCGGGAAGACGCTTCGTTTGAAAGAAGAAAAGTCAAAATTTGCCGTTTGACTTTTGGCTTTTTAAACTACTGTTATTGACAAAGAAACTGCTGTGGCTTTAGTTTTTCGTTGTATTTTAAAGGCCTGACGGCTTTGCAACCGTTGGAGAAGCTTTTGCAGCGAAAATAAGCGAACATTTTACAACTTTCATTCTCGAGCAAGCACTGAGCACATGTTTATATTACAAATATGTACAACATGCAAGCTCTGCACGCCAATAAAAGAAAGCAAGATACTTCAAATTTTGCCACAGTAGACGAGGTTATTTCTACGGGAGAGTTCAATCCGGTAAGAAGTTTGTGTTTTGCGCTGTTATTTTAGAAGTAGTGTAAAGTTTTATTGTTTTAATAGTATTTTATCGCAAGGCCATTTGATGAATAGTTTGACACCATATTAAACAATTATTTGTATTTTTGGAGATTAATTTAATTAGTTCTGTTGTTTAATTAGTTCTGTAGTTTAGCTGTTTGTATATCACGCAATAATTTTTGTATTTGACCACAATGAGAGATTATAACTCACACTTGCAGTTAGGATTGGCTATGGTCCCAATACTGGACATATACTGTATATACATGATGTACTATAAACCTTGTTGCAAAGGCTCTTGAAACTTGAAAGCCGATTTACACTGCACAACTTTTGCCTAAAGTATATTGCATGCAACTTGCTTACAATTTGAGTTGTACTGTGTAAATCAAGAACACAACGACAACGTAGGTGAGTTGTGCGCTTGATTTACACAACACAACTGCCACAACTCAAGTTGTAAGCGGGTTGGATTAGTGCCACCATAGCTATTTATTTAGCTATTACAACAATAGATTGCTCACCAACCACATGTAATTGTGCAAATTACTTCGCAAAATTCTCTTTGTTGACTCGTGCAGACGAACAAAATTTGTACAAAACTAGCATGTGTACTAAGTTATAAATAAATGTAATGGCGTAAATCAGATGGCAGCAGAAGTTAGGGAACCCTGTAAATATTGACACAACCATCACAGTCTAAGGGACTGGACCTTTGGGATCGATTTTGGCCTGCAGATAAAGTATTTATCCCAATGAGCGCCACACTCTCCCCTATCATCTGGCATTAGACAGAGTTAATAATAAAGTAGTGTGTGTTGGGGTGCAATGCAACTTAATGGGTTAAATAGACACATGGGTAGATAGCCTGATTAACATTAAGCACTGCCACTCTCCTTTTGACTAGTAAAATCATCTGGCGTTAGGCAGGTAAAATAATAAAGTCTGCTGCGTTGGGGCGCAATGCTATTGGATAACAGGCATGATTGGAGCATCCCCAAATAACTATAGACTGTAATTATCAAATTTTATCTTTCACTAGAAAAAGCAACGTCTGAGCTATGAACAGCACCCCGTGAACAGCGAACAAACCCAATATAATGGTAACAATGTAATGATCAATGATTTGTCCCAAATGAATGGCCATTCTCAAGTCAATAACAACTATATAGAAAGTGATGGTGGTCATTTGCAAGAATTGAATGCAAATACCAATGGTCAGATGGGAAATGGTGATGACAGAGTCTCTGAGCCGATGGAATGTTCTGAAGAACAAGTCGACCATACCAAGGCTCAAGTGAATGGAAACTTGACGTCAACTTCCTATGGAAAATTCTGTCCTCATGGCCATCTGAATATGTGTACAACATACAAGTAAGTGTAGACAAAGTATCAGGGCCACTGAGAGGGGGGGGGGGGGGCGGGGGGCAAATTGCCCTAGGCCCCCCCCTTAATGGGC